ACTCGGGGAAACTATATTTTTATTTTTCATCCTGCTTCTTGTAATTTCGCCCTTTGTTGTTTTTGCATATGCCAGGATGCTAAATTTGTGACAGATTATTAAATTACACTTTTTAGACCACACTCCAAACGACAAAGAGTAACATAGGCTGCCTAATGCATACGTCATTCTATTAAAAATGGCCTTTAGCAATATCGGTAATTTTATTTATTTATCGGTTATTAAAATAAAACTAAATAATTAAATTTTTTTAAATCCCAAGGCGGACGGGTCACTATAATTCTGTCTACTACACTCTACTACTCTTCTCTCGACTAAGGGAGTAAACCCTAACAGAAAATCCTGGTCCTCCTGGTAGGGGGTTGGGACGTAGAGCCTGCTCCTCTACACCCGTAAAAAACTTACTGCAAAAAATTCTAAAATCCAGCCTCGGAATATGGACGGGAAAAAACGAAAACGACGTAGCAAACGAACAAGGACTTTGAATATAAATACATGGAATATCCAAGGGTGGAGAACCAAGTCAGACGAAGTCGTGTCAGAAGTAAAGAAAATAAAATTAGATATCACGGTTCTTACCGAAACAAAGAAAAAAGGCCAAGGTAGTGAAGACATAGGAGGTTTTATACATATTTATAGTGGAGTAGAGAAAGACAAAAGAGCACAAGCAGGGGTATCAATATTGATTAAAAAAGACTTAAAAGGAAACCTGAAAAGCTGGGAGCAGATCAATGAGAGAATTATTAGAGTATCTATTACGTGGAAAGGGCACGACCTCGAGATCATTGGAATATATGCTCCGTCAGAAAATGCATCAAAAGCAGCTAAACAAATATTCTATGAAACTTTATCGGAACTCATTGAAAATATAAATAGCCGCAAAGAAATTGTGCTGTTGGGAGATTTTTAACGCTTGGACAGGAACAAAAATAAATGACAAAGTCGTAGGAAAATATGGTGACGCTAAAACAAATCAAAATGGGGAACACTTAATCGAATTCTGTGAACAGCACTCTCTAAAAATCCTAAACGGATTCTACCAACATAAAAACATACATAAGTACACCTGGGTTCAACCAACGAGAAACACAAAGTCAATTATAGATTATGTCATCACAAAACAAGAAACACACATACAAGTTGAAGACGTAAGAGTACTAAGAGGACCGGAGTGCGGAACTGACCACTATATGGTAAGATCAAAATGTTACCTACAGTATCGACCTCGGCTACTACATCAAAATGACAATCAACTAGCTCAATCAAAACCCCTGGAATCGAATCTACCTAAATACAATATTGATGCACTGCAAAACGACTCGACATCGTTCTTATATAAGCTGCGACTTAGCCTAACTCCTCATCCTACTCCTCAGCCCAGAATACCTATAAAGAGATAATCAATAAAATCAATGAAGCAGCTTACGAAGCGCTCGGCACAATCCAAAAGAACAAAAAGAGTACTCCATTGTGGTGGACAAATGACATCGCCAATGCAGTACACAACAAGAAACAAGCATATCAAAAGTGGCTGCAAACAAATGATCCAGATGATAGACGAACATATGCAAGATTAAACAGAGAAGTAAAAAACTTAGTAACTAAAGCAAAAAATATTTCCTGGGAAAGTAAATGCGAAGAACTCAACAAATATATAGGGTCAACAAGATCAAGAGAAGCATGGAAAACGGTAAAAAATCTGAGAACAAACAGAAAAGAAACGAGTAGAATAGATTTAATAGAAGAAAAATCTTGGATCGAACACTACTCACAACTTTTAACTGAAACAAGACCTCAATTCACGAACATCAGTACAACAACATATGAACTGGAATTCAGTGAAGACGATGAAATAACAGTACAGGAAGTCGAGAATGCAATACGAACTCTAAAAAATGGGAAGTCATGCGGACCACAAGGTATACCAAATGAATTATTAAAACATAGCCCACAAGTATTACGGGAATTACTGGCGTATGTCTTCACCTTATTCTATAATGGACACGACTTACCACCGGAGTGGACAAAAGCACATATTAACAACATATACAAAAAAGGAGATAGAAAGAATTGTTCAAACTATAGGGGGCTAAGTGTCATAAATTCACTCTCAAGACTGTATGGAAAAATAATAAAAAATAAAATTGAAAAAGAGATGACAGATGTAGAAGAACAGAATGGCTTTCGGGCAGGCAGATCCTGCATGGACAGTATATTCTCTCTAAAGCAAGTTATCGAAAAAAGATTAGCCCACAACCTTTCAACTCATATAGTCTTTATAGATCTGACAAAGGCATACGATAGTGTACAACTTTCAATGCTTTGGGTAGCAATGGAAAAACAAGGAATAAGCAAAAAAAATATACAAGCAGTACAACAGCTCTACAAAAATATGACGGCAAACATTAAAACTGGAAATAGATTAACTAGAGAAATTCTTATTAGTAAGGGCCTAAAGCAAGGCTGCTGCATAGCACCTACACTCTTCAAAATATATCTAAATGAGGCACTCTCACTGTGGAGAAGAAAGTGCTGCAATATGGGCATCCCAATCGGAGATGATAGATTGTACACGATACATTTCGCTGATGACCAAGCCATTCTAGCTGAAGACGAGAGTGATATAAGCTACATGCTTAGAAAACTGGAAAATGAGTACACCAAATGGGGCCTCACAATTAATATACAAAAAACTGAGTACTTAGTTGTAGGAGAACAACCAGAAAGCCTACAAATAGAAATGGGAACTATAAAACCAACAGACAATTTTAAGTACTTGGGAGTCCAAATAACATCAAAAGCAGGAAGTAGCGAAGAAATACATTCCAGGATTGGCCAAGCAAGATCAGCCACCAGACAGCTACACGGACTATTATGGAATAAAAAAATAACAAAAGAAAATAAAAGAAGAATTTATAAAACAATAATAGAAAGTATTGGACTGTATGGCGCCGAACTCTGGGAAATAAACCAAAGAAACAAATCAAAAATTAGGGCCATGGAAATGAACTACTGGAGACGATGTTGCCAGCTCACTAGACTTGATAGGGTGAGAAACGAAGATATTCGGAGAGAAATGGAAATCGATGTAGATATAATAGACACAATCGAAGCCAAAAGACTTAACTGGTATGGACACCTTCAGAGAATGCCGGAAAATAGATGGCCAAAAAAAATAGAACAATGGACTCCGCCAACTAGAAGAAAACGAGGTAGACCAAGACGATCCTGGAGAGACGATGTCGACGATGCAATGACCGCCAGAGATCTAACAACTGAAGATTGCTTCGACAGAAAACGCTGGAAATTAGGATGCGAGAAGCGGCGCCAGCTGTAGAAGACTCGCTTGTTATATATTATATATTAAATCCCAACACCTGGATTGCTGTTATCATTTTTAACATCATCAAAGTTTTTGAATCTTTTGGCCGTAATAAATCTATGTATAACGAATATTGTTTCATGGTACATTGACATTTTGTTTTCGACACCGTTCATAGGTATCTTGTTAATCAGTTACCAGCTAAAGTCCGTTTGAAGAGGTTTACTCTCCGGACGCTCGAACTCACTTAAAGCATGGGTGTATGTTACCTAAAGTAAAATTTAATTAAATATTTAACATCAAATTTTAATAACAACATTATGCACAATCTTTGTTAACCTGATGTATTTTAAAGGGTTTTTACCATAATATTTTGGTGGCTCGGGCATGTTAACCTGTAAGTATAATACCCATTTTGCTTTTTTTACACTAGTCAAAATTTTAAACCACGTTTGCTTTAATTAAATGGTTTATACTTATTTTAGGCATTTAGGCATTTTTAACCTGATGATGGAATTATTATTCCGAAAACGTTCGTGTTATTTGATGTAGCCCTTTTAAGGGTTTTTTTTAAATATACCCATTTACAAAGATCTAACCTCTTTTTTTATTATTTATTTAGAGATGAAACGTGGTTTGATACTCACGATATGCCATACGCCATCTAAAGGTTGGGTAGATAATAGTCAATGTTGTTCAACAAAAGCGCCTTCTAATAGAGGAAAAAGAATAACAGTATTCCATGCTGGATCAGTCGATGGATGGGTTTTAAAAGCCTTATCTCTATCAGCTACAAACATCAGTGATTCATGTCTCGATTACCATGACAACATAACTTCAGATAGATTTGAAGACTGGTTTAAAAATAAGATATTACCCCACATCCCCCTAATACTGTTATAGTTATGGACAATGCAACATATCATAGCAGGAAGTTAAATAAAATTCCCACTTCAAGAGATACAAAAATAACAATACAGAATTACTTATATGACAAAGATATTGATTTTCATATAAATAATACTAAGAAAGATTTATTGGACATTTTAAAAAGTTTCGCATTCAAAATTGTGATAATTAAGTATATCGAAAATATGGGTCATACGATTTTAAGTCTTTCGCCATATTACTGTGTTATTTAACCCAATCGAACATATTGTGGCATAAACTTAAGTCAAGAGTTCGAAGAAATAATACTTATCACTAACTCAGGGCAGTAATGTGTAGTGTCTGTGTTGAGTAAATGTCTTGTTACTTTAGTAAAGTCGACTTCATTGTTTTTACAAAGAGACGCTAATTAATTGTATCCGAACGTCTACGGTTCCTCCGGTGAGTACCGATTTACTCATTTTAAAAGGTTCATATTTATTTATGTTTACTTGTTATGTTTAAGTTTTGTAACTTATGTAAGTATCTAATACATTATTGTAAATAAAATATATTTTGTTCCTTTAGTATTTTTGTCAGGTACTCTTCAAGTATGTCATGTTCAAGTGATACCTATTTATAACCATTGTACCATCATCTTAACATTAACAACATACAAGGGAGTGTTGTTATGGAGAATTTAATCATCTAAAGTCTAAATATAATGCCTTATCTTTCTTCTTTCTGTTCTTATTAATATTCCTTTTCTTAAATATTTAGAAAATGTACTCAAATCTTTTCAATATTTCAGAGAAGAGAATCTGCTTGATGAAGACTCTAAAACCAGCGTTAAACAAAAACAAAGAATTATACAAACTTTGGCAGGACAGATAGCTCATCAGTGGTTTGGCAATTATATAACTCCAAAGTGGTGGTCTGATGTTTGGCTAAATGAGGGGTTTACCACGTTTTTTAAGTATCATCTTCCAGATTTGGTAAGTAAATATACTCTGTTACATATATTTAATGAATAATTGAAATTTACTGTTTACTGACTAAAAAGGACGCAGAATTTTCTCTTTTTGCATAGGTCCCTGTTATACGAGCGCTAATGCCATTGTCTTATTAGCGCCGCCTTAGCGTCGACCATCGAGTTTTAGATTCTAACTCGATGGCGTCGACTCAACCTAACAATGGAATTGGCACTACCATGGAATAAATTATACGAATCACATTGATGTCAGCGAGTCCGCGTTATCCTGACGGCAAGCATATACTCAAGTCACTCATACCACAGAATAATAAACAATCAGAATGCCCACTTTCCATGGAAAATTAAGTACGCGCATCTCCTTCGCGCAGACGTTCCGCTATATTTTAGAGGGAACCAGTGTTGTTTATGTGGTGTACATAGAAAAATTAACCCGGTTTAATTGACTTACGGCAATCATAGATACATACTATACAATTATATTAACATTGTTAAATATAATAACATAAATATAATATAATTATTAAACATAAATATAAACAATTACATAACCTCACAAATCATATGTCTGTGGTCTGTGTTATGTGTTTCCTTCTAAAACATGGCGCGCGTGCTAAAAAACTTCAAAGGCGGCATCTCAGAGTGGACATTCTGATTGTTTATTATTCTGTGCTCATACTATTTATTCACTTCCCTATTTTGTCGGACTGAGCCGATTTACTTGAAATTTGGTGAGTTGATGGGACGCCTGAAAATACTCAAATAACAAAAGTTACCTATATAACGCCGATGTGTGCTCCTGCTCGGAGGTGGAAATTCTTTTGCTTAAAATAATTACGGAAATCGATCAAGAATTAAATTCTGAGCAACTTTTCTTCTATAAAGTTTTTTCAGAAGAAAGTCAATACTGTTTAAGCTATTTATGGTTGAAAACAGCGAATTTTCATTCAAAAAAATCACGTTTTTTTAACAGTTTTCATGAATAACTCTGAAACATATGCCTTTGATCGAAAAAGTATGTAAAACAAAAATGAAGTTTATGAAAGAAGAATTAGAATGAGATCCATTTTTATTGGATATAATACAAAGTGAGACATGGTCGGTGAAAGGAAACTTTTTGCGAATAAATGTTTTTTTGCTGCTAAATACAAATTTTCGAGGATATTTACTATTTCGGTTTTCCATGTGTTTACGTAATAAACACGCTCGTTGTTCGGCGATATGAGTTCTTTCAATTAAAACTCTTCGATGATTATCTTTTTTAAATTAATGGCCCAAATCATTTATTATTCTACTCAATGATGCTTTACTTGTAGCAACCATTTTTTAACCTGCGGCTCATTTATTTTAATATATAACTATAACATATTAGAAACTACTTATAATTCTCAACAGAAAGTTGGTTTACTACTATCCTGGTACATATTATATATTGTATTTCAAATTGCCATTTTATTGCCCTTAGGTAAATTAGTAGTATTCGTTTTTAAACAAAGTCCGCTTATTCCCGGAGAAGATAAAATAGGATTTTTTTTTCGTATATTGTATACTGTGTTTATTGCCAATTTAAGTGCAGCTGCTAGCTTCTAAAACAAAGTTAAAATATTATCAATATTTTCAATTGAAATGGATAAAAACCAAAAATAAAATGTGCCTAATTATAAATATTTTGTTATGTAATAAAGTTGGTAAATAAATATATGCTTGTCATCATTAAAGCTTTATAATAGTGCTCAGTGGCGGTTGGTATATAAGTGCTGCGGAGCTGCAGAACCAGCAAAATAATCCAAACAAAATTACTTTGAAAATTAAATAAAAAATATCACTACTTATAAAATCTAAATTCATTTAGATGGTTTTCGTGCATGGCCGCCTTTATTTTAATCTGTCGTCCGTCGCATCTCATGGCGACAGCAAGTCCCACTTATTTGTCCGGACCGGTGCTACTCCCAGCTGTGAACTGTTAAAGATATCCCCGATAACACCCGCTCAACCCCTCGCCTACACTTTTCAGGCGACGACTGAAAGCAATATTTGAGCTGCATTTGTCGCAGTTCGAACTAGTGTGTACAAACCTACGTTTATTGTAATTTTAAATAATCGGTGATCGCGACGCGACGACTGTTTTAAAATAAGTTGTCCTGCACGTAATTCGGTATTTATATTAAGTATATGAGAATAAAAGTGCTGTTCAGGATGGATGTTATTTATAATTTGATTAATGTTAAGAGATTCTTTAAATATTCTTATGACGAAAAACTAGAATTAAAATGCAAAGGACGTCCTTTGCCGGATATTAAAATCGAAAAAGAAGGATCAAGCCGAGGGAAAAATTACAAACGACAATTTAATTGCGATATTTATACGAGAAATAGTTGGATATGTGGCTGCAACAGAAAAAACGCTCTTTTCTGTTTTCCTTGTGTACTCTTTGGAGGTGATAAGTCATGGACGCAAGTTGGTGTAACAGACTTAGTACATTTAAGAGATAAAATAAAAAAGCACGAAACTTCTAAGCATCATTTGTACAATCAAATAGAATATGCTTTATTAGGCTCCGTGAATATTAATGAACAGTTAGATTGTTGAATCACAAATGGTTGTAGTATTTAGATATTGTCGAAATGGAGCACCGGTAGAACGATTTTGGACATATTTGGTACCTTCAAAATTAAATGCAGATACTTTAAGCAAAAACATTTTTCAGTGTTTTGGATCCTATCCTGGAAAACTCAAATAATAAACTAATTGCTCAGAGTTATGATGGGGCAGCGGTCATGTGTGGACAGCACGCAGAGTTCAAGCCAGAATCAAAGAAAAATATCCATTTGCTCATTTTGTACACTGTTACGCGCATCAATTAAATTTAATAATGTCTAAGGCTTGTTCCAAAAACTCTCAAGTTAGACTTTTTTTGGAAATTTAAATGAAATCCCTACCTTTTTTTAAAAATTCGCCACAACGAGTGGCAGTTTTAGATAAAATCGTCCAAAAGAAAATGCCTCATGGGCTCCAACTCGCTAGAACTTCAATATTCGAACTGTTAATGTTGTGTTTGAACATCGATCTTCTTTTATCGAATGTATGGAAAAAATAGAAAAATCGTTTGATAAGGCAGCTGTCTGTAGTTCAGCGTCTTCCATTCGAAGAATACTAATGGATTCTTTTTAAATCAATAAAAAGGTGACAGATTTCGAAAGATACATGAATTCAGTTAGAAATTCAATAGATGATACCATTGACTAAGGTTCTAGTTTATGCGTTGAACTATTACCAACTAAAAGGATACGGAAGGATAACAGTCCAGTAGATCATCGGAGAGCATCTATCAAAGTTTGTGATATAATCATAAATTGTGCAAATGATAGATTTGCTTTTAAAAATCAGATACTTGTAACTTCATTGCTTTATCCTGAGCAATTTGATAATTATTGTGATAATTTCCCAGATGATAATTTAAGCCTGACTTGCGCGTCATATCCAAATTTAGATAGGGAGCGCTTGAAGATTGAATTGAGCTCTTTATTTTAGAAGAGACTGTAGAGACATTAATGGGGCAATACCTTTTTTAAAATTTTTAATTGAAAATAATTTAACAGAGCCTTTTCAAGAAACTGTAAAACTGCTTCAAATTCTAATTACAGTGCCCATGAGTTACGGCAGAAGCTGAAAGGTGCTTTTCGAGTTTAAAACGGATTAAAATATTCTTGAGAAATTCCATGACTGAAGACCGACTTGTAGCATTAACCATGTTGTCAGTAGAAAAAACACTTATAAAAGAAATACCAAACTTTAATGAAAAAGTTATAGACAAGTTTGCTTTAAAAAACAATCGACGAATCGAGCTTATGTATAAAAAAAATAATATATTTGGCTCTGTGTGTAGTTAGTTCGTAAGACCCTATAATGCAATTATTGTTGTGGCGATTTTGTTTGTAGTGTTTTTTTCGTTTGCATTCCTTAATTTCGCGTATTTATCGATAAAATTCTACTACAAACATAAACTAGAAAACAATTACTAGTGTGCCATAATGTACCATTGCTATTTTTGATATAATTGGATTTATCTTCAATTTGAAAAGAAGAAAATCGGTAAGTTCTTTATTATTTTTTAATAGATATATAATGAATAAATATATGGTGTAAAATATCAAACTAAAAGCCTCGTTGTAAAATACAACGATTAAAAGATATTGAATTAAAAAAAAAAAAACCAAAAAATACTGCAGAACTACCAAATTTTTGAGTCACCAGCCGCCACTGATAGTGCTCATTTGAAAATTGTACTTTTTGTGCCTCTTGAACAGTTCCAACGGTTCCCTATTCCTTTTTTCTAATTCAAAAGTACTCAATTACATTTAAAACGAGTTCTTGTGCTTGTGAAGTAAGAGATTTTCCAGGCATAATCGAAAAAATTCAATAGAGTATTTTATTTTTGTCATTTCTTTAACTTTTGCGGGAACTTAAACAAAATTATTTCTTAACTGTGAGATTAATTTGTATGTACAGCTGGTTCCTAAAAAAACTGATACGACTCTTAGTAAGACTTGATCATTTTGAGCAGTGTATTTGATTGGTCTAACATTATATTATATTTATTATGACAGATAAATAAGAAAATAAACAAACCAACAACAAACAATTAATTAAATATGCTAATTAATAAATTAAGGTCTAAATTTTAATATTATTTTGAATTCCTGCATTTTATAAACAGTATATAAATATGAGTTTTTAAATAAAATAGGGTTGTTGTTATTATTTTATTATTATTAAGGAATAAAATAAACGACTTAACTCAACAATATATTAAAGCAAGAATTGTCACCAAATTAAAATATAACTGGTCACTATCAGAGGCAGCAAACCATTTTAACATAAGCAGAACCACAGTTTTTCAATTAATAAAAAATGAAGGGAACAAGAAACTCTTGAAAGAAAGCGAGGACCTGGAAAACCAAAACTATACTAAATTTAGGTATGTAAAAATAAAATTATTATTTTGTAATATCTCCATTAGCATTGATAACAGCGTGTAGTCTTCGGTCCATCTGCGTTAAAGGAACTATGGAATTGTCTTCTTCAGAGAGTTCTTCCCAAACCTGTTGTATACCGTGCCACAGCTCTTCAGTATTTTGAGGTATAAACTTACGCCGATACAACCGTTTAATAATAATCCCCACACATTCTCGATTGGGTTAAAATCTGGTCTGTAGCTGGGCCATGGTAAGGTTTCGATGTTGTTATTCTGGAGTCACTGGTTTATTATATTTGCAGTGTGAACAGGACAAATATCTTGTCTGAGAATAAATTATTTTCTGGATACAACTGTCCTACACTGGAAAACATGATGTTTTCTAGAATACTCTGATAAGTCTGCCCAACAAACCTGCAATCAATACGCCATACCATTCCATTCCTCTAGATGAAATCCATCTGCACACATTGGCGCTAAAATGGCCAGCTGCTCGATATCTATCAATATATAGAGGATTAAATCTATCATGATCTGGTCTATACACCCCAATTTTGTCCTTTTTAGAAGATTGAAAAAATTTCTCATCTGTAAAATATTAAGTACCCTGTCCCAAAAATCTTAATTTTGTAGCTGATGGTTTAAAGCAAATGTAAGTCTTGATTGCTTCTGTTCTGGTGTAAGAGCTTGTTTTGCGCCAATTTGTTGTCTTCCCGGAAACTGTGACATAATTCTTGCAGTTTTTGTATCTTAAAAAGGAAACTCTCCTTCGAGAGTTTCTTGTTCTCTCCATCTTTTATTAATATTAAAAACTGTTGTTATGCTTACATTAAAATGGTTCGCTACGGCAGATAGTGACCAACCATCTAATTTCGTTACAATTCTTGCTTTTAGTTGTTTGCTAGCATGTGGAGCCATTCTTGAGGTAAAACAGAATACGTTATCTGAAAAATGTTAAGATTGGGCAGTGACAGTGACAGTATATAAATAATAAGTATTTATCCTTCAAAATACACTGCTCAGTTTTCTACAAAATACGCTTTAAGACTCATATCAGTTTCTTTAGGAAACAGCTGTAAATTAATAACAAAATAAAATACACGTACCATAAAAAAAAAATTTAAACTCCAATACAAAATTAGTTGTGAAAACAACTGTTTGTGTGATATAAATAACATCTAAATGCAAAAACACAACAAAAATAGCAAAAAATTCAATAAACTGACAGCCACAAGTAAACAAACCAGAAACGTCACAAATTGTACTTAAAATCTTAAAACGTCCCCAAGCGTATTTTTTGTACCTACCTTTTTTTCGATTTATTGAGTCTAGAGCGTTCATAAAAATAATATGTGCCCTTACTTAATAACAAGGGGTAGCTATAATAGTTTGTATTTAGTTTCATTTGGAGAAGAGAAGAGAGTTTGGAAGAGAATGATGCTAGATAAAAAGTATGTGTTTTATCTGGCGAGGTATTATATAATCATGTACAGGTAAAGAGTCATTTATTTTACTGTACAATGATTACAGACGTGTCCCTTATTTCTTCTGTGTCATCAGTCGTATGTAAATTAGTAAAGTAATTTAACCAGATGCCATTGGTTAATTGATTTGACTCACTCGTTTCATTAATTTTTTCCCATTGTAATCTGATCAACCGCCATATTTATTTTTAAATTCCACAAAAGTCATGTTTTCTTATTTTTAAGGTTAACCAAAACTGAATTTTTAACTTCAATATTAGTGTTACTTTTCTTATTTGTATTCTCTTTGTCAACCATTTTCCATCCACTCCTGAATGTAGGTCTCTCCCAATTGCTTCCATCTTTCTCTATCTTGTGCCAATCTAATTAACTGTTTGCCTGCCACTGCTCTTATGTCATCTACCCGTCTTTTTTAAGGTCTTCCCATGCTTCTTCTTGTCGTCCTTGGTCTCCATTCTAGAATTCTCCGTGGCCACTTGTTGTCATTATATCGGGCTACGTGACCTGCCCAGCGCCATTTCATTTTTGTAATTTCTTCCATAATATCCCTAATCTTCGTTCTACGATTTATCTCGGTGTTTCTAATCTTGTCTCTCAGTGATATTCCAAGCATGATTCGTTCCATTGCTCTTTGCGTTATTTCTAATTGTTTAGCTGATTTTCTGGTAAGGGCTACTGTCTCCAAGCCGTAGCTACAAACTGGTAGTATGCATGTGTTATACACATTTTTCTTTCAAGTTTGCAGAAATTAAGGTGTTTTTCAAGATATATGCTAATTGGCCGAAAGCGCCCCATGCCAGTTGTGTTCTTATTTTAATTTCAGCATTTTGATTTGGTTTTCCTATTTTGATGACATGACCTAAATATACATAATGTTCAACATTTTCTATGGTATGACTTATTATTGTTATATTTGTCTAGTCTCGGCTCAGTATTTTTGTCTTATTGTAGTTCATTTTTAAGCCTACCGCTCCTGAAACTGCATTTAATTGTTGTAACATATCATTTAGTTCTTGGATATTATCAGCTATTAAAACTATGTCATCTGCAAATCTCGAGTGGTTTAAGTATGATCCTTCGACGTTGATACCCTTGTTGTTCCATTCCAGTTTTTTTAAAATGTCTTCTAGAGCAAGGGTAAATAGTTTGGAAGAGATGGTGTCTCCTTGTCTTACTCCCCGTTGTAGTCTTATGGGATTAGTTTTTGTGCTTTAGTCTAGCTTTATCTGCATGGTGGCATTGTCATATATGTTTTTATTTATATTAGTGTATCTTGAATCTATACGTTCATTTTCTAGAGATTCAAGCACTGCCCATAATTCGATGGAATCAAATGCTTTATGGAAATCGACGAATGCCATATGAATTGGAACATTATACTCGCTGTATTTTCTATTAGTGTTCTTAGGGTGTGCAAGTGGTCTATGGTACTAAAATGTTTTCTGAATCCAGCCTGCTTGATAGGTTGATAGAAATCGAGCGTATGTGTTAGGCGGTTGGTTACGATTTTAGTTAGTAATTTATACAGATCTAATAGCAAGGATACTGGTCGGTAATTCTCGATGTTTGCTTTGTCTCCTTTCTTAAATAGTAGAATGACTTTGGAGTTGTACCATTCTTGAGAAATATTTCCTTCATCAATTACTTTAATAAAATATTTAGTACCTGTTCCATTTTTCTGCCACCAATTTTCAACATTTCAACAACTGTAATTTTATCCTCTCCCGGACATTTATGCGTTTTTAGTTGATTTAGGGCCATTTTTATTTCATAGTCGGTTATGTCCAGTATTTATTTGTGTATTTACCGAGTATAATTTAGTGTAGAATTTTTCAATGGCCTCGCTTATTTTCTTTCTGTCTTGGACGGTGACGCTTTATTTGTATTAATAACTAAGGCAAAGGCAAAAGTGGCTGGCAATGTATCGAATACTTTGGTTCTGTTTAATCAAAATGGTATAAGATTATCAAGATTATTTTAAACATTGTCTTGAAGATTTTTCATCGTTATATCTTATTATTCTTATATAAATTATATAACATAGATAAGTAGGATTTTATAAATGTTATTTTCCTTTTTTAAATTTATTTCCTTAAATTTAGTTTCTTAGTCTGTTTTTAGTTTATTAATTTGTTGTTACCTTTGTAACTCCTGATTTTTACCATTTTATCATTTATTTTAGACTTTACAGGAATTAGAGACTAAAAATCAGTTTGCAATCGAAATTCTTCAGGATGCCTTATACCAAGATTCTATTCAAGGCGAAGCAGAGCTTTCAACTAGTGAAAACACTGCCATGACTCCTAAAACTCTGGAGAAAATCAGCAATTTTAAGGCTATTAAAGGTAGGTCATTTCCAAATAAATATAAAATAAAACTTAGTACCAATTTTAAACGAAGACATTTGACTTTGCGGCTTTTAATGGTAATTGCATTAGGGGTTTATATATCGTGGTCTAGAATTTTCTCTCTATCCGAAGCACTGCGACGAGGTAAATTAAAATTTAAAAATTTCTGGTATTACTGCTGGAAATCCACCCCATGCCGTCCAGCTTGGTAAGCCAGTACAATAGCCACTGAGCTACGGCCGTCACTCATCTGTAACTGCTGCCCCATTTTCCTTGCCCTCAGTTACTTCATCACAAAGAAATAAATCTTGCCACGATTTGTAGATAAAGGGAAATTAGTAGCTAGCTTCCGATTGCAAATAAAAAGGACTACTAAGACTACTAACCTCTCTGGCTCATTGAAAAACTCAAAAGAATTAAGTAAAGTTATAGAAAAAAACAACCAATGATATCCAACAAGCAAGTTAGAATAATACACTAAATATTTCCAAGAGCTATAGGCAACTATTATATAAATAACGCTGCAACTGAACTGGTACAGGACTAGAAACTCTGTATATAAAACTATTTTGAACAATGCCACACAGAAACTAAAAAAAGAAATCAAGAATCACAGAATCAGGGCATAGTAAGGTAGTGAACGACTTACTTCATACCATACTTCAAGGTAAGGTTCATGGATAAAAAGTTCCAGGAAGAAGAAGAATATCCTGGCTTAATAACTTACGAAAATGGATTACCTTGACCACTACCGAACTGTTTAGGACAGCACTCAATAGAGTCAAAATATTCATGTTAGTGTCTAATATCCGTAACGGATAGACTCCATAAGAAGAATCCTCCATGGGAGCAGTTTTTCAGGCACCTGGGAGTAGCTCATCAAAAAACCGACTTGCTACATCTTTCAAACTCGCTAAACCAATTTGTGATGGTTGCTTTAAGGAAGAAGAGTCACCGTATGCAGCATTCAAGCATTCTTTGATTTCCCTTTCAATAACAAGATTTAAATCACCGACCGATATTGATCTTTTCCATTTTTCTAAAATCATGGACGTGCCGGTTCCACACACGTTAAAAATAAAACTACTAGTACGACTCCGCTAAAATTGGGACATTAGCCGTCTACGAGGTTGTAGTATACTCCAGCAAATAAATAATAAAATGAGTCATATGCGTGATCTCTTAAGTTATCGTATAATTTGGCTGTTTCTATGAATTTTACTAAGCAGCGTGTCAGTAGCGGAGAATTTATTTTTTATTTAGCGTATGACATATTAATAACACATAATTAAAAGCAATATTTTTATAAAAATAAACGTTAAATGGAGTATTACAAAAGAACATCTCAATAGAAGAATATATCAATATAATCTAAAACATTTTCGGACGCATTCAGTAATTCCATCTAGTTTTTATTTTTGTTCTGTTAATATATTACACTTCTGATCTCTTCACTTCTTTTGTTTGAATTCTTTTTTGCTTTCAGTCACCAACCTTTAATGAGGAAAAGACACATGAACAAGAAGGTCTAAAATGGTTTGTTTTTAACGTCTTGTCTTCAACTACGGCATATATCATCAATAGTGATGCAGAAGCGAACGTAGGCGTGACTTTATTTCCGTCACTCACTAATAATTTTTTTCAAATACCTGGTATATTTTAGCCATCGTATACTTATCCATTGGGATTTGTCGTTCTGTGTGAATGAATGGTTTGGTCAAATAATTTTGTCGACCCCCATAAAATTCTTTAATTACAAAACACCGACCTATAAAGTCTACCTACACTTTTTTAAAATATTGGCCAATTCCTATTTATAAGCTATCACTCGTTATAAATTCATATATAACTTGTATTTATTTGTATGTGTATAAGTATATTTATTAATATTGTTCTGAAGCTATTTTCTTGTGGCATTGTAAATTAATTACTATTAAACTGGGAATAAGCCACAATTAAAGATAAAAATAACGTTATTGACGTTTCAATTTCCACTTCGGAAATCGTTCTCAAAATACAAACAATATTTGTATTTTGAGAACGATTTCCGAAGTGGAAATTGAAACGTCAATAAACGTATTTTTATCTTTAATTGTGGCTTATTCCCAGTTTAATAGTAATTTATATTTTATTACAATAATAAATTGTTTATTGCAGGTGCAAGCATTATACGAATGATTCAATCTACTTTGGGTGAAAGAATATTTCAAGAAAATATTAAATCATACCTAAATAAGTAGTAAGTAGACAATTGTTGTTTACCATTAATATGTTAGCAATACACATCAAGCGATACAAAGAAGTTAAATAATAATAGAAACCCATACCAATAAATTAAAATTAAACTTCAAGACTCAATCACCAAACTGGCAGATAAATATTTTTACCTAGGGCAAAAAACCTTATCAAATAAAAACATGTAGAAAAGTAGACATGTATTGAGTAGAAAAATTTCCTTGTCTCCCTACTAACGAAACAGAAGATTCATCAATAAATTAAACGGTTTTAATAAAATTTAGTTCATCATTAGCCTTCGTTATTAGAGTTTCACAAAACTCCAGTCTTCGAAAGTAGTTGTTTAGATAAAGCTGCTGCGTTTTCGAATATTTAAAAATCTTGTAACCGTGCTTTATCCATACTTTCGTTAAATTTCTGGAGCGAGATATTTTCTACAATATTTCAAACATAACTCTCAAAATTTTTAACAATATTATGAATTGACCGTACGCAAGAAATTGGTCACCCCTCAAAAAACACAGAAGATAAATCTACACACTGTTGTCCAGAATTATATCCGACAAGCGAGAGCTGGCAAATTGAAAAGTGGAAGGAATTGCTCATTTCTATTGCAGTCGGTTAGGAGTTCACATCGTGTAATTAGTGCTAGATTTTTGACAGTGCTGTCAAGTATTTACATTTTTCTTTGGAGTGGCCCTAAATTATAAACTATTATTTATAGTTATTAAAATGGCAAGTGTATTAAAAGGCAAACTTTTGGACTCAAGCACGAGAAATAATTTTTATTGTTTTTAAAGTTTACAAGCGAAGAAACTAATGCAGATAAAGTCTTAGTTGATTTAAAAAATATACAAGATTGTGTAGCTCAATTAACTGGTAATTATAATACTCATTTTCAAAATAAATTCAGATTTAAATAATTTAATTTAAGTTACAATCAATAAAATTATAATCAATAAATAAATAAAAACTTCATCATCATCATCTTTGGCTCGACAATCCTCTGTGGATCTTGGCCTGCTCTAAGATTCGTCGCCATTCTGTTCGGTTTTTGGCAACATGTTGCCATCTTCTGATTTTTAATATTCGTAAGTCGGTTTCTACTCCATCTAACCACCTAATTCGCGGTCGGCCTTTACTTCTTTTTCCTACAGGTGTTCCTGTGGTTAGCTTTTTAGCAATGGTATTTTCTGGCATTCGTATTATGTGTCCAGCCCATCTAAGTCGCTGTGTTTTAATGAACGTTATGACATCTGGCTCATCGAAGAGCTGATACAATTCAAAATTATATCTTCTGCGCCACTGCCCTTGGTCGTTTACAGCTCCAAATATTTTGCGGAGTATTTTACGCTCAAATATTCCCAAAAGTCTTTCATCTTTCTGCGTTAGTGTCCATGTTTCTGCTCCATATGTGAGGACCGGCCTCAGCAATGTTTTGTATATAATAATTTTAGTTCTTCTTTGAATGTTTCTTGAGTGGAAATGCTTTTGGAGTCCATAGTATGCCCTATTTGTAAGATTTATTCGTCTTTTGATTTCTTCGCTTGTTTTATTGGTAGCAGTCAATAGCGACCCAAGGTATGTGAAGTTGTCAACACGTCCAAAGGTATGACTTCCAAAGACTGTTTCTCGTTCGTCATTTGCTATCGGATCCTTTGTAACCAACATGTACTTGGTTTTGTCTTCGTTGATGACTAGACCGACCTGTTTCGCCGCTGTTTCCAATTCTAGGAGATATTGCTCAACATCTCGCTTGCTACGCCCTACTATGTCAATGTCATCAGCATATGCTAAGACTTGTATCGATCTATTGTAAATAGTACCGCCATCCCTAATTCGTGTATCTCGGACTGCCTTTTCTAAGGCAATATTAAATAGGAGGCAAGCCAGAGCATCTCCTTGTCTGAGTCCATCCTTTATCTCAAAGGATCTAGAACTCTCTCCCTGTATTCTAACAGTGGCTTCTAAGTTAGACATTGTCATTCTCGTTAGTCGGATAAGTTTCTCTGGTATACCAAACTCATGCATTGATTGGTATAGCACTGTTCTCTTGACACTGTCGTATGCGGCCTTAAAGTCGACGAATAGGTGATGGGTTTCAATATTGAATTCTAATGTTTTCTCGACAATCTGTCTTATTGAATGAATCTGGTCAATTGTTGATTTTTCTGGAGTGAATCCAACTTAATATTTACCAACTATGCCCACTGTGTAAACTTGCAACCTTTCGTAGAGAATATTTGCTAGTATTTTGTAAGCAGTTGTTAACAGGGTTATACCTCTATAGTTGTCACACTGGAGCTGGTCACCTTTTTTATGTAACGGGCATATCACGCCTTGAGACCATTCACAAGGCATGGTCTCATTATGCCAAACAAGAAGTAAAAGCCTATGCAGTGTCTGTAGTAGGGCATCGCCACCATTCTTATAACATTAAAATAAAAACTTACAGAACAAAAAAATACCAGTAAATAATAAGTAAACAATAGATCAGTTAATTAGTACTTTACAGTTCACTATTACTGATAATATAACGTATATCTGTAGCGACAAGCTAATTATTTCAAAAATTAAATGACAGTTCTTCATGTTAAAATTTACATTATCGCAATTGGTTATACACATGTGAAATAGAAATGACATAAAAATTGAAATGTGTTTCTCCAATGTTTATTTACTACATATATGCTGGCGAAATAATGGCTGCATAAGAGGCGAAATGTTTTTGGGTTTCTTGGTACGAAATGGCCTTTTTGCAATGAA